TCAATATAGCAGGTGATTAGCACTTTTGCTGAAGATACTTCAGTACCGTATTTTCCAATATACGGTAGTATACATTCGTTTGAGAAAACTGGGAACTGCACTTCGTCATGTTGCAACTCCGATACGACTTGAAATGGAGATTTTGAAAAACATATTTCTGTGAGCTTTCTGCTCTGACGTGGCAGAACTCTCCAAATGAAACTTTTGTGTCGAAGTCCCAAGAAGGTCCCCGTTTCTTTTCCTGCCCGTGAAACTTGTGCGGTGGTGGTGGTGAAGAAACTGTTGTCGAGATTCGAGGGCGTCAACCACTCGAAGGGATTTTCTAGTCAGGGTGGTCAGCCACAGCAGCCCCCAAGCTTCACCACAACCTTCGTTATCCACGCGATGATTGTTCTGCCGTTGCAACCTCAGATCGAGCCGTTGATCCAAACTTGTGGGAGTAAAGCCCGGGCGAAAGTTTCTGTCCATTGCCCGTGTAGCAGACCCCAAGGCCCCAACGCAGGCGTCTAGGGAAACCCAAGCCTGCTTGTGGTTACCAGACCAGCCCATCCATACCTGTGACGTGCCCCATACCACCTCTCCCCAATCTCGCGCCTCCTTAGCTGTTCCGATCCCCTACCTTCGTCCCTCTCCTTACATACTCCACCTTACCATCACTTCAACTCCTCTTGCGCGCCTAAGCCAGGCAAGGCTGCGCCTAGTTTTCCTGCTCTCTCAAGCTCCCTTCATTCGTTCTTCACGCTCTTCTCAGGCCTCTCCGTAAGTCCCTGCTAAACCCCCACACAGTAACTCCTCGTTTCTCAACTAAACCCGATTCCTTGTCACTTATTGTAGTGATGATGGTTAAGGAACAGATGTTTTCCGATTTCTGGTTGTTGCCCCACCAAGAACACCTACACCTTACTTCAGGTTCCAGATGTTCCTTCAGTCTTTATAATATTCTGTCCTTCCCGGATCCCTCTCACCTACAACAGTCGCGTTCTTGTTTTATCAAGAAAGCTTTCCAACATGGCTGGCATGGCTCCTGAAGGATCGCAGTTTGACGCGAAGCAGTATGACAGCAAAATGGCAGATGTGTAAGTGTAGAGTTCCAACTAGCATATAGGTTATTCAAATATGTCCTTCACGGGGTCCCGAGATAGTTTTCGGGTGGCTGTTGGTATCATCATACCTTGTAGGTTGTGAAGTCCGCGTGCTTATAAACCCTCTTCAACAATTGCACCGACACGGTCCCACTGTTACCTGTCGTTCGTGGTGCAGGCTTGCTAGCGAGGGCGAGGACTTCATCTCCACCTGGGATGAGGTGCACGAGAGCTTCGATATCATGGGTCTTCACGAGAACCTTCTCCGTGGAATTTACGCTTACGGTAGGTTAAGAGAAAGTAGGGAACGGGAATTATGAGAGCAACGAACGAATGAGAAGGCAGTCGACTACTACTTACCACATCATCAAACCTCTCTCCATAGCATCAGTCTGATCTACTAATAACCGGACTGTTGCACCCCGACACTACAGGTTTCGAGAAGCCGTCCGCGATCCAGCAGCGCGGTATCGTGCCGTTTGCCAAGGGTCTGGACGTGATTCAGCAGGCACAGTCCGGAACCGGCAAGACGGCGACGTTCTGTTCCGGCGTTCTGCAGCAGCTGGACTACAAGCTGCTCGAATGCCAGGCTCTGGTTCTCGCACCCACCCGTGAGCTGGCGCAGCAGATCGAGAAGGTCATGCGCGCGCTGGGCGATTACCTCCAGGTCAAGGTTCATGCGTGCGTCGGTGGTACCAGCGTCCGCGAGGATCAGCGTATTCTCCAGGTCCGTGACTGGTGATTATTGACTTCATCGAGGCCGGTTTTCGTGAAGCCTTCAGCTTATTGACATTTTCTCTTCCGTGTGCTTGCAGGCTGGTGTCCACGTGGTGGTGGGTACTCCTGGTCGCGTGTACGACATGCTGCGTCGTAGCTCCCTTCGTCCGGACCACATTAAGTGCTTCGTGCTCGACGAGGCCGACGAAATGCTCTCTCGCGGTTTCAAGGATCAGGTCCGTACCTCATGCTCGGTGTCGCATAAGCCCTTAGACTGTAGGATCAGCCTTACCTACATACATAGTTAGTGACGTTACATTGTCGACTTGATGACGTAACTTTTCGTTACGGCAATGTGCTTTCCGTGTTACAGATTTACGACATCTTCCAGCTGCTGCCGCCTAAGCTTCAGGTCGGCGTGTTTTCCGCCACGATGCCGCCGGAAGCGCTGGAGATCACCCGCAAGTTCATGAACAAGCCCGTCAAGATTCTCGTGAAGCGTGACGAGCTCACCCTGGAGGGTATCAAGCAGTTCTACGTTAACGTTGAGAAGGAGGAGTGGAAGCTGGACACGCTTTGCGATCTCTACGAGACCCTTGCTATCACCCAGGTAGGTGTCCTTATCACTTAGCAATTGGACTCCTTTCTCGGATTTGTGACTTGTCCACTCCCTTCCTATTGTTGTAAAGCTGTAGATTCAGCATCTTCACATTGAAACCCTAGGTAACGATATGTAATCGTTCGGTTCCTGTGTTGGGGTTCCCTGATCCTCCGTTGTGCTCCACCCGAACATATGTCGTGTGCAGTCTGTTATCTTCATCAACACTCGTCGCAAGGTCGACTGGCTCACGGACAAGATGCGCAGCCGCGACCACACGGTGTCGGCCACGCACGGTGACATGGACCAGAACACGCGTGACATCATCATGAGGGAGTTCCGCTCTGGCTCGTCCCGTGTGCTCATCACCACCGACCTGCTGGCACGTGGCATTGACGTACAGCAGGTACGAGAATAGCTGCTTGCTGTAACGCTGTCATTCTGCTGGTGTTGCTGGTGTTGTGTGAGTTTTTTTTACCTCAACCTTGTTCCCAGATCATCCCTATTTTTCATCAACATTTCGTTCCTGCTGTTAATTTCCGTAGGTGTACAACTTGCGTCTGTGGAGGTGTTGTCGAATCAAACCAGATCTCTGGTCTATGCTTCTTTTTCCCTGTCCCTCCAGGTGTCTCTTGTCATCAACTACGACCTTCCCACCCAGCCTGAGAACTACCTCCATCGTATCGGTCGGTCAGGGCGGTTTGGTCGTAAGGGTGTTGCCATTAACTTTGTGACCAAGGATGATGAGCGCATGCTTCAGGACATCCAGCGCTTCTACAACACAGTCATTGAGGAGCTGCCCAATGATGTGGCCCAGCTTCTGTAAAGAGTTATCTGAGTCAGAGAGCCTAGTTCTGGGCTCGTGCTCGCTGGCTGGTTGCTGTGGCTTATCTCTGGTGGTGCTGGTTAAGGCACTTGCTGGTTAAGGATGTGCTTCGGCGAGAGGCTGGCTAGTCAGGGCTTGATCCTTGGTTGTCGTGAAAGGATCGTGTCTGTTTCCGTCTGGTTTCTAGTAGTAGAACAGATTTCAAGGGCTAAGGAGCCCCTTAATTTTTTACTTTGTCATGCTCCAGCACCTTCAGTAGTTGACACCTAAAATGAATTGTCAGCTTCGTAGGGCAGTGTATCTCCGTATAACGAGTGCTCTAGCAGATTTCGTGTTTTGTGATATTACTGCAAATAGCTTGACACAATTGTACAGGAAAATTGTATCCAGGTTTATTGTTAGTTGCGTTTCGCACCCTTCCGATCACGTTGGCATAAAGCCTTGGGACCATTTCTGTGCATGTGCAGGCGGTATCATGCTGCGAAAGGTCGTGTCACTTCTTACCAACTGTTGGCCCTGTCGCACAAATCCTTCTACACGTGTCACGCATTCGCCTCTCCTCTCTCGATGCCACGTAGATTTTCTTCCCGAGAGAGCTGTCTGGGGACTAAGCCTCCCCGCTTACGAGACAGTCTCAAGGTCCAGGCTGCACAGCTAGTTGAGGCAGGGTCAATGTCCGCGTCGCTTGAACCGCAAGGGGCAGGAATGCGGCTCGAGGGGGCAACGGATGCGAAAGGATATTGGGGAATGGGCGTGGTGGCTCACCACATGGCATGGGGAATTCCGAACAGCCTGGCCGAGCGGACCCGACGCGTCTGCCTGATGGACTGGCGGGATAGTGTGCGTGGGAGGGAGGGGAGAGCATGGCATGTGCGACGCATATGCCGGATGAGGCATAGAGGGCGAAAGAGAGAGAGGCGTGCTGCGTCCAGGGAGGACGCACGCGATACGGGAGAGGAGGTTTTGAGATTCATAGGAGCTGGGGTTTCCTTTTTCCGCCGAGGATGAGGCGGGCAGAAGCGCGAGGTTGCTGTGAGGGAGAAAGAGCCGTCAAGTGGGCGATCGGACGAGGCTGTTGTTGACTGGTGCTGTCATTCTCGTTAACGCTTTCTTTCTTGGAAGACACGCACGCAGTGCTGCTGCAGCAAAGTCAAGCCTCGGCAGCACGCGCATCGTCCGCCACTGGATTCGGTTTTTCAGGTAAGAGCGTCTTATCCGCTGTAGATTCCGGGTAAGGCGTTCTGAAGGTATATCTGTTAGATTCAGATTCTTCAAATCTCGTTCACATCGACCATATCTATGTATTCTCTGAGACCTCTAGTTAATCTACTACATGTGGGATCCTGGCAGGTTCCTGCGTAGAGCTTTCTTGAATGAGGCCTACTGTGGCGGTCCACGGTTCTTTCTTCTTAGCAGTGTCATCTGGTTTCGGTTGTGACAGCTGCATGGCGTGCAGGCAGTAAATTATCGTCTGCATCAACATCACGCATCGCGCTGACAAGACAAACAGACAAACGGTTGGCAGTCGTGTGAGTGGATGCCTGAAGGCTGAAGGCGGTGTGCAGCGACCTCTTGCCGAGCTTCAAGTTATCAATCCATTGAAGACTTAGCTTCAAGGGTTGGAAATTAAGTTACTTAGGAGAGAATACGCCTGTGGCTCCTAACGTCACCCTCGTTGTACAGGGTTATTCCCTGCAAGTTGGTTAAGCTTCGTTTTCTGCTACGTATTAGGAGTGGTGTGGTGCCTGTTCCTTGCCAGCGACTTCACAACACCCAGATGGAGAAAGGCGAGTCAGCTAGTTCTGGAAAAGAAGAGGTGGAGTCTGGAATTGAGCTCCACGTGAATGTTGCTGCGCCACGTCATCACCATGGTGGCACCAGTGCTGACGTGGAGGCAGAGGACATGGATCCGGAGTCGCCCTCTCTCATGAGCTACATGCCCATGGACCTACTGGAAGATGACAGCCATGATGCTGCTGCTGCTGCTGGAGAATTGGACGGCTCAGATCAAGGAAAATCTTGCAGCGACAACGATGGAGATGTGGAGGAAGGACCAGGGCTAGGGATTGTTCCTGTGTTGGGGTTTGACAGTGGCGATTTCGATGGTCTCAGTGGGCGTGGCAGGATCTTGGGTGCGGGGTATGGCGAGGATGGGTGCAAGCTGCACGTGTCACGGAGAGCAGATGCTGGTGGTGGTGAAGGCGCAGCAGCATCTCTTGCCTTTGGCTTATCAGGAGTGGGAGGTCTGATGGTTACAGGAGGTGATGATTTGCCCCAGCCTTTGGGCAGAGCTGGTGGTGCTGCTACTGGGAAGGGCCTGGGGATGGCAGTGCCGGCTGAGCAGGGAGAAGGGTGGGGGCTTTTGGGGAAGCGGCACGCGGATATGATTGCAGATGCTGCTGCTGATGCCGGCGCTGTTGGCGGTGGTGAGGGGTGTGGATGGGGTGATGCGGCTGGTGCGTTAGGGCTACAGGAGAGGATTTGGAGCTCGTTCGGCCTGCAGAGTTGCAGCAACCTGAGGAGGGCCAAAGGCGACCAGCAGCTGCCCCAGCCGCAGCAGCAGGCGCAGCAGCAGCAATTTCAGGCGCCCATGGGGTGGGAAGTGCCAGTGGAGGAAGGGAGGTTCTGCATCAGGTGCAAAGGATCTGCGGAGAAGCTCAGGCATGAGATCAAGGACCTGAAGCTCACACAGGTATGCATTGCAAATCCTCCTCTGCTCCATCGCTAGAATGTTTCCTGCTTGAAAAATCATCTTCCTTTCTCCACCCTTGCATGTGAGTGGGAAGAAATTGCTCTGTTGCTGACGCTAGTGTGTGTTTGCTCTGTGCCTGCGTGGGTGGGTGGCAGAGAGCACTGGAGGCGGAGTTGGTGTGGGCCATGGAGGGGAAGCTCAAGGCGGAGCAGGCAGTGGCGGAGATGGGTCATGCGAGGAATGATTTCCCTTTGCAGCGCAAGGTAGCTTGCCCTTATGGCCTTTTTCGATGACAGGCTGAAGAAATTGCGTTTTCAGCACTGCGCTTCAGTTTTTTCACGGGATGTGGCTGATGGCATGATGTGCATTGTTTGGTCCTCTGCGTGTGTGTTTGTTTCGGTGTGTGCGGTTGTGTGTGCGTGTGTGTGTGTGTCCGTGTGTGTGTGTGTTTCTGTTGTCGCTCCCAGGTGCTGGAGGGCGTTGACTGGGGAGGCATCATGGATTCATCAACGGATACCTCTAGGTGATCCTCAACCCCTTTCCGACCCTCTCTTTCCCCAGAGTCTCACCCACGTTCTCTCTCTTTTAGGCGGTTCTCCAAATTCCACTTGCCTCACAAACTTGTCGTGTAAATTGTGTGGATGGCAGGGCAAAACGGCAGGGGCAAGAGGCATGGCAGCGAGAGCAGGTGGGGGGGGAGAAGGAGCAGCAGCGGCTGGCAGAGCTGGAGCGATACGTGGAGCGCATATCAGCACAGTTCCAGGGGCTGTTGGGAAGCTACAACTCCGTTGCCAGCCAGTTGCAGCAGGCACACGCAGAGACGTCTCAAGTAAGCAAGTGCGACTGTGCTTCCTGGTGGCACTTAGGCTGTTTCCTATTCCGCACCTTGCCTTGTTCTCAAGATCGCTCACTCAGAACTCTTACAATTGTTGTGTCCTGTGGCCCTCGCTCCTCTCCCCAGCTGCGAGCAGACGCGCTCCAGCTGAGAGCAGCAAATATGGAGCTGCTGCGCCGAGGCCCGATCCGAGACTCTTCGCCCAGCATGGCCGGCGTCCCCGGCATGCCTGGCATGCCTGGCATGCCTGTCATAGCTGCACCTGTGCCTCACAGCCCACTTGGTGGCACAGCAGGGGCGCCTGCAGCACCGGGGCGGTCACTGCTGCTTTCCTCGTCACGTATGCACCTCCTCCTCATTCTCTCTTGACTGTTTAAATTATGTTTGGCTGCATTTCTTTCCTTGTCGGCGTGTCTCTTTGCTGGCTTGTAACCTTTTGCTGCGAGAGATTTTCTGGTTTTATGCAACCAGGTCCCTGCGCCCTTGGTTTCTGGTTTTTCTACTCCCTCCCATGTTATGTTCTGCTTTTTCTACCCCCTCCATGTTATCTAATGCAGCATTGGCAGTAGGCACCAGGCTGCAGCAACAGCAGCAGCAGCAGCAGCAGCAGCAGCAAGGGCAAAGTGCAGTCATGCCTTGCTGGTCACCACTGGCTGAGCGATCACTTCAAGGAAAAGCTCTCACTCAAGGCCTACCCGCAGTGAGCACACGACAGGCAGCACTACCACACACCGGCCTTGGTAGTGCAAGGCATGGGGGTGTGGTGTCTGCTGCTGACGACCTGGTCACCACTGAGGAGAGAATCAAATCGCTCCTGGCTGAGGTGCAGAGGGGTCCTGCTGCTGCTGCTGCTGCTGCTGCTGCTCCGCATGTTGCGGAATCTGGGAAGGCAAAGCAGAGTGAGCAGCAGGAGAAGGAGCGGATGGGTGTTGAGGAGGAGCAGGAGGAGGGAGGAGAGGTTGAGATGCAAAGGGGTGATGGTGATTCTGGTGGTGATGGTGCTACAAGCAAAGCAGTTGCCACGGCTGCTGCTGCTCATGGTGGCGTTGGTGCTCATGGTGGTGATGATGGAGGTGGGGTCGGAGGGGCCATTCTTGAAAAGCTTTCTGAACCCAACACTCTCTTGCTGCCTGGCCGGGCTGTTCTGCAAGCATGCTCCCTTGCACCTGCCGCCGCCGCCGCCACCGCCGCCGCTGCTGCCGCTGCTTCTGTTGCAGCAGCAGCAACAAGTGACTTTGCTGTCAAGGCTCCTGGTTCTCCCCTCACGCCGACTACGGTACCAGTTATGCAGCGCACAAAGCATGCTGTCCCAGCAACACCAGAGACGCTCCACACACGCCCTGCTGAAGCCACAGCCTCACAAGACGTTTCCATGACATGTGCTGAAACGACTACATTGGAGACAGCAGGATCGGGAGGGATAGATTCAACGGGTAGTCCTGCTGAGGTGTTCAGGAGGCCTACGTGGGAGTCCCAGCCAGACGAGAAGATGCATGACGTGGAGCCACGTCAGCCTGCTGTTGATGCACGTCAGTTACTTACCAAGGAAGCTTCTGGTGGGCTCGTCGAAGCCCGCCGGTCATCCCCTGCTGTGCCCAGTTTCAGTGCGGCTGTGATGTCAACTGGGAAAGCAGTGGGGCGTGCGGCTGCTGCTGCGGCTGTGGCTGCTGGTGCAATGGTAACCGGTGCTCCCGCTGCAGCAAAGTCGCCTCTTCCTGCTGCTTCTGGTGCAGCTGCCACCGCCGCCGCTGCTGCTGCGGCCGCTGCTGCTGGTGGGTCAAGTGCTGCTACTCCAGGTGTGCAAGGCACAGCAGGCAGCACCCCCACAGATAGCTCCATGGCCTTCCTCCTCTCCATGTCCTCACCGGGTCCCACTCCCCTCACTCCCCGCCCCACCATGCCCTTCCACTCTCGCCTGGTCACCACCAGTATCCCACTCACGCCCGCCCAGGCCTTCTCCTCGTGTCCCACTCCCATCTCTCCACCACCTCGTACCTTTGCCGCTGCTGTCTCGCCTCCTGTTCCGTCTGGTACTGGTGCTAAATCATCAGAGGCTGCTACAACTGCCGCTGCAGTAGCCAGTGCTTCAGGTGCTGCTGAAGCAGGCTCCACTGCCCCTGCGACTGCTCCCATCAGCCCTGCGACTGCTCACACAGGCTCTGCAACTGCTGGTGGTGCTGCTGCACGTGCAAGGCCATGGAACAACAGCAGGAGCGACATCGGAGGAAGGCCTCTCGATCTCGACACACCAATGGCCGACATCAAGGAATCACGAGAGAGAGAACGGAAACTCCTGCCTCAAGGGAAAATCTCTCCACCTGTGCATTCCGAGGCTATGCCAGGTATCACACCCGGGGTACTAGCCCCGGGTTCCCTGAATCGCCCTTCTCCTCAGCAGCCCTCAAGTCTTGCCTCTGACTCCATCTCGCCTCGCCTTGCCCCTGAAATGTCTCCCAAGTCTGCTACGTCCCTGCATGCCCGTGCTTCCAAGCCCGTCCCGGACGCTCCCTCAAGGCTGAGAGCTGGTAAGCCTGGCAACTCCACACCAAATAATGCGCCGACCTCCATCCACTCGCCTGTGGTGCCGCCTTCTTTGCCCTCCATTGCACCTAAGCTAGTGGAGGGGATAGTGACTTCTATTGTGTCTGAAGGCACGGCTCTGCTGCCTGTGGGGCGTGCTGAAGCCCTTGCTGCTACTGCTCAGCCGCTGCCTCTTCCCCTCCCTAAAAGCATCTCTGTTAGAGCTAACCAGCTGCCTGCTGGCGCTGCGGTTTCTGCCCTGGCGACGAGGGAACGAGGGGTAGCAGGAGAGGGCGTGGGGAGAGGTGCAGGCGGAAAAGCGGGTAATGGTGGTGGTGGTAGTGCAGCACCAGCTGCTGCTGCTGCTGCTGTTTCTAGTGATGCTGCAGCTCCTGCTGCAGTTGGTGCATTGCTAAGCTCTCCTCCTCCGAAGTCACCCGCTGGTGCAGCTGCATCAGCTTCGCCATCTGCATCAGCATCTGCTGCTGCCTTGAGTAGCAGCAGCAGCAGGAAGAGAGGTGTGTCGGGTACTGCAGCAGTCGAGGGTGCAGCATTAGCCGCGGCGGGGAAGCCAGCGACTTCTGGTGGCAGTGCACAGGCGAGGGAAAGAGGCACGGAGGAGCGGCAGGCAGGAGGAGGAGTGAGAGACACGAGTGCAGCAGCTGGAACACTGAAGGGTAGAGTTGAGGGTACAGGCACGAGACTGGGGTCGCCGGGAGCATTCCCCTCAAGGGAAGGTGTTGCCACGAGCGGCAGTGGCAGGATGGTGACTGTGGGCGGTGAAGGAAGCTTGCGGCCTCATCGAGGCGTGCCCTCCCCTGCTGCCTCTGCCTCTGCTGGTGCTGCGGCAAAGGGGAGCGTATTTTCCCGCTTGGGTGGTGGTACAGGAGGAGGGGGGGGGGGAGGTGCAGGTGCAGGGGGAGTAAGGCGTGAGGAGACAACGGGTAGCCGTGCATGGGTGGATGGTGAGCCGGATACAGGTGTGATGTCTCGCAGCCGGCGCAGGGAGCGGAGGGTGGAGGAGAACCATTCGTTGGAGTCTCGACTCAGTGCAAGTGGAGCTGCTACCTCCAGCGAGCGAGGCAGGGGGAGGGATGGTGTGAAGGAGAGGAGCGAAGGTGCCACGTCAGGCATGGGTGGAGGAGGAGGGACAGCGGCTGCGGCTGCTGCGGCAGCAGCGGCGGCAGCAGCTGCGGCCTTGGATGTGTATGATCAGGGGACATACAAGACAGAGCTTTGCAACAAGTGGGAGCAGACGGGTAATTGTCCCTACGGCAACAGATGCCAGGTATGCTTGCACTGCACAACCTTTACTTGTCATCCTGATGAGTGCTACTTTCGTGTCTTCACCCTACGGCAACAGATGCCAGGTATGCTTACACTGCACAACCTTTACTTGTCATCCCTGATGAGTGCTACTTTCGTGTCTTCACCCTACGGCAACAGATGCCAGGTATGCTTACACTGCACAACCTTTACTTGTCATCCTGATGAGTGCTACTTTCGTGTCTTCACCCTTTTCTCTCCCTGGGTGGTTTACGCCCCCGCTTCTCCCTGACATGCCGTACTCGTCTCCTGTGCTGCTTTTTGCTGGCCCCCTTACTGCAGTTCGCCCATGGAGTGGAGGAAATGCGACCTATTCTGCGGCATCCGCGTTACAAGACGGAACTATGTCGCATGATTGCTTCGGGGAAGCAATGCCCATATGGCCATCGATGCCATTTCAGGCACGCAATGACACAAGAAGAGCGTGCTTTCCTTTACATGTTCTGAATATATAAGTAGGTTTACATAGTAGTCAAGTATCTATGTATGTAGTTTATTAGAATCTACTGTAGCATTTCTCTTTGTTACGACCGTTTTGTTTTCTAACGGTGATTTTCGGAGCTAGTAGTTTTATCATGATGTTGTTTTGCGTCCATCCATATGCATAGTGAACAGAAAGTATTCGTGAATCATTTTAGAATCCTTTCAGTGATAATCAACCTGTCCTGAAAAGAACCGCAGACATGTCCACAACATCATAAATTTCAACCTCTCAAACAGAAATGCTTGTGGTGTATGCAACACCACAAAATTTTCTTAAGGATGTTGTGTTTGTCCCAAAACCATGTACATGGGTAGACGATGCTGTCACTAGAGTTATCTCCAAATCGCATCAGTTCCACTGCGCGCTGAGATGGTTGGCATGCAAGGTCGTTGCCGCATTCACCAGCTGCGATTTCGGGTTCGGTCATCGATCAGACTCCGACCACACATCAGCCAATCAGCAGACGTCATCCCTCAGACCAACAAACCATCTCCGTCAAGATGGACGTCCCATTGACGTTCCCTGAATCTCACCGTGAAGACGGGCAGTCACGTTCTGGGCGGGCAGTCAGTTTTCCCAATCACCAATTCCCAATGACGTCAATTGTTCCCTTGTAACCCTTTCGAGATATCTCAGGGCTCATTCCTGATCGTAAGTACAGCACGCAAGTGAAGTCAGATCTCTTTGCCTTGACAATACACCGCTCGGATCCCCAGACGCACACCTCGTCTCTGTACATGGCGAGCAGTAGAATGGGGTAGCTTCTGGCTGGAATTCGTGGTTGGGATGCGAGTGAGAACAGCGCATGAGAATTCTTGAAAGCAACACCTAACCAGTCCTCTCCTCCTCATCCTGCCTTTCTGATGAGCTTGCGTTGACTACGCCTCACTGACAACAACCGAGGCAGAGTGGAGAGCTGCAGCATGGATTTTTGTGATTCGGGTGCGCTTCCTAAGGCTGTGCTGTTGACGACTTCTACTCTCACGCATCGTCGCACGAACTACTCTTGTCCCCGTAGGAACTAAAGTCAGCCTGTGTACTGCTTTTATTTCGCCTACGCTTGTCTACGACCCTCGCTTGTAGGCTACGTTGCGTTGCAGCGGTCGACTAGTTTAAGCGCTTAGTCGGTGACGGCAGTAGATTATATCGAGATATGGGCATGGAAGCCAAGGACGCGTTGGACAGCCCAGGAGAGGACTCTAACGGATTCGTAGATCTGGGAAGCATTCTTGGTGGGGATCGCTGGACATACGTCAACGATGACGTCAGTTCCCTGTCACCCTGTCTTAACTTATTGCCGTATTTTCTTAGTTAGCCCTGATTGACTTAAATGACACGTTTCGCTCCTTAATCAGTGTGCGCGACTATGGAGATTTTTTTCCCAGTCAGTCTAGGTCAAACCTAACCGATTCCGAGTTATTAACGGCTCAATGACGTCAAGACGGCTATGCTGTGATTCCGTTCAACTTGAGTTTTAGTTTAAGGTTGACACATGAGCTATTTAAGCCTCCAGAGCTGAGCCGCATCATGATTATACGCATGAGGTTATCTAGTTAATTTCTTTTGTCAATCTCTGTCTCTCTCGGCCATGCTCCGTGTGTGCATCGCTCGTTCATGGATCTCCGCCGTCTCCTCTCCTATTTCCTTCCCTCTTGCAGCTCACGGCCAGCACGGGGAGCAACAGCAGCGCGTCTGGTGCTATTCCTGGCAGAGCTTCCCCATCGCATGACTTCTTGCACGCTACAGGGGGAGACGCACATGTAACTAATCCCCACAGTGGGGTCAACGCTCAGAATCCCGTTTCCTCCACCACTGGCAAACCCACCAGCGGCAGCAGCGGCGGCGTCAGCAGCAGCAGCAACAGCAGCAGCAACCGTTGGGATGGAGGCTTGTTCCGCATGGACGGGCGAAGCTCCGTCTTCTCGGCTGCTCCGTGGCGTGGAGTAACGGAGAGTGCAGCCGAAGTGGGGTTCAGGGGGTTGTCTCACAGTGTGTCCTTCGCGTTTGATGCTGCGGGTGCGGGTGCGGGTGCGGGTACGGGCATGGCGTCTGCTGTTCCCGGTTCTTCTCACGGCCGTGCAGGAGCCTGGAACGTGTACAACCGTTTGGGCAGCAGTGTTGCTGATGGTATGGACTTTCCCGGGCAGATTGGCACTGCTCGCGCCGGCAGCAGCGGCAGGATCAATGAAATTGATACACTGTTGAACGGTGGTGCTGGTTACGCTGGGGCGGTTGGGGGCGCGGGTGTAGTGGCGGGGAGCAGCATTAGCACGGGCGTCAGTGGCAGCAGAGGCGGGGGTGGTGTTGGGAGTGGTGCGAGGTGCGTGTCTCCGTGGTGCAGCTCGGTTCGTGACTCGCTGCCGTTCCTGCTGCCCACCGAGCAAGTGGTTCTGGAGGTAAGCAGTGACGGCAAGCAAACTTGCAACAGTTTACTTGCAAATTAACGCCAGCCAGCCATTTTGTCGAAAAGTTGTTCCCGCTGCCCTCACCTCTCTTTCCACCACTTGATTCACCTCCTTGCGTTGTGCTGGCAGGAGCCTAACACGCTACTGGTCAACACGGACACCACAGGACACCTCCTGCTCACCTCCCTCCGCATCCTCTTCCTCTCCGCCTCGCCCTCTCCCGCCGTACACCCATCCCCTACTATCCCCGCGTCCCCGCCGTGTGCGCTGTCACCGCATCCCCTGGGCTCAGTGTACTTCCCAGTCATCGACCGCGTTGCCAAGCTGGTGTGTGTCACCGGGTGACCGGGTGTCCCCTGCTGAACCACGCCCACGGGCCGTGCCTTCACTCGCTCGCCCACTGGACTAGGGGGCTGGCTATGTTGGAAAGCTATTCGCGTTGTTAGCCCAGTGGTACCTTATATAGGATCCCTGCTTCTCCACACACCCGACCCCTACCCCACGTCGCCTGCTCTTCCAATCGGCTCTAGTATCCCAGTGCTTAAGAGTGAACCCTGACCGTGGTATTCTGGGTTGTGTGGCGCTCTATGTGCGTGCATGTGTCATGTCCCATGTGCAGCCTCCAGGGCGACTGGCTAACAGCAGGGACCATCTGCTGCAGGTGCACAGTAAGTGCTGCTGCTTTGCTGCTATTTGTAGCTTCGTTGTGTGCTTCCACCGTTTGCTTCGTTTGTGATTTGAGCGCTTTGTGATTGACAGCAGCAGTGAGGTGACGTCCCTAAGAGTTGCTGTATGTATCTATCGATGCGTTTCATGTTTCTGTGAGCAGCCAAGGACGCTCGAGTGCTGGTGTACGCTCTGCCTCCTCGCATCTGCGCACAGGTGTGTGTGTGTGGTTGCGTGTGCGCGCGCGTGTGCCCTTGCATGCATGTGCGTGTACAGTTGCCCTTTTCAGATCCTTCGCGTTCTCTTTGTAGTCCTGGCTGCCCTCGTCCTTTCTCAGGTCCCCTCCGTTTCCTCTACGCCTTGCACCTCTCTCTTTCCCGTTTTTTGCCCTGATTTGTCCTGACCAGCAGCCATGAATAAGTCGTCCCAATTGCTGCGCTCCATGCCGTATGCATCGTCTGTGCGTCCATGTGCTGTGCACTGTGCTGTTCTGTGTGTGTGTGTGTGTGTGTGTGTGTGTGTGTGTGTGTGTGGTTGGTGGCTGGCAGGCACCGCCTGTGTTTGACACCATCATTCACCTGCTGCCGCGCTCGCTGCTCGAGCTGCCAGTCTTCCACGCGCCCCTTGCTGCCCTCGCCACGCCCACTGCCAGCACAAGCAGAAGTGGCAGCAGCAGCAACAGCAGCAGCGCAGGCAGCATCGAGGAGGGTGCCTTATCACCCACGGCACAGGATTCACATGGTGCAGGCGCTTCCACTCCTCCTCGCGCCTTCACTCCCCCACTACCATCTCCTCCTGCAGCAGCAGCAGCAGCAGCAGCAGCTGCAGCAACAGCAGTGGCAGCCACTGCAGGTGGCGCCTCTATGCAGGCGGTGGGGGTGGTGACAGCGGAGTGCATGCGAGTGCTGGCCATGCTGCCAGAGCACTGGCGCCGCCTCTGGGAGATCAGCCGAGTCAACGCCGCCTATGCTGCCTGCTCCTCCTACCCACAGCGCCTGCTCCTGCCCTCCTGCATTAGGTTCGCCCCCTCCTTTCCCAACCCTCCCCCATCAGGTATATCCTCAGATTCTTTCTTCCCCCCCCCCCTTCCCCCTAATACTCGCCTATTCCTCTTCAACTTTCGCAGCACGTGCGTGTATGTGTTCACCGTGTGTGCACACACTCATGCGCTTACTCCGTCCTTTCCACCGGTGCCATGTGTCGCCTTCCTGTGTGCCCCCCTCATCCCCATCCCCGTCCCCCCTCTCCCCTGTCCGCCGTTGGCAGTGACGACGACGCCATGGCATCTGCTGCCTTTCGAGCCAGGGGCCGCTTCCCTGTCATGTGCTGGCAGCACCCAGGTGCGTGCAGGGCAGTGCAGCGCATGCACGAATTCATGCGTGTATGTGTGAGTTTCGTGCGCATGAAACTCGCACATGGACATACACATGTGTGAGGTGAGTTTCGTCAGCTGTGTCTGCACATGAATGAGTCATTCCACCCACCCTCCCTTCTCCACCTTCACACCACAACTGTCTCTCCTCGCATCCCCCCCCTCCCCGCCCCGCTTCTCATCTACGCCGCCCTCTTGTTGTCGCATCCTATTGTTACCCTCAATCCTGCTTCTTGCTCATTCTCCCACTCCCCTTGCTTGCTCACCGCCCTTGCCCTACTCTGCTGTTCTCAATCCCCCAGGCAACGGTGCTGTGCTCAGCAGAGCAGCACAACCCCTGGTCGGCATCCTTTCCAGTAATAGAAGGTATAGCTGCTCCACTGCTCTCGCTTCCCATGCCTCCGCACCGCACGTCTAATGCTTATCGGCACACACACCCTGTCGCCCCACACATGATACATAAGCGTTTTCTCTCTTTGATCCTCCTCTCCTCGTGCGTCCCATCTCTCCCCCCTCACTGCATCTGAATCTGCACGCAGTGATGCGGATGAGCGTCTGGTTGCAGCACTAGCCGGCCCTGCTCTCCCTGGGGACTCCTTCAGGTGCGTGCTGCTCCTACTGGGGCCTGCCTGGGGCTTGCGCTGGGTGCTGGGGGCGGGTGGGTGCGATGGGTTCATCATGCCATGCCATTGGGGGGAGGTGAACGCTGGTGTGCCTGTGCTGCTTGTTGCATGGGTCAACGTGATTCTGTGTGTAGGACCGTGCTATCTAACTGCCCTGCTCTGCTGTGTCCTCATCCTTCCATATTGCGTGTTCGTCATTTCTGTCCCGCTTTGCATCCATGTGCCATACCGTGCCATGTCATGCCATGCCGTGCCATGCCATGCCGCACGATGCCTTGTCTTGCCGTGCCATACCATGTCCATGCCATGCCATGCCATGCCATGCCACACCATGCATGAGCAGGCGTCTGGTGGTGGCGGATGCACGGCCGCGCAAGAATGCCATAGCCAATGGGGCCATGGGAGGCGGCTATGAGTCATCTGCCAACTATCGCGGCACAGAGGTGTGTGCTTGCTAAACAGCTGCTCTTCACGCAATCCTTCCTCCACCCCCTTCTTTGTACTCAAGGAGTCCTTTCCCTCCCCCCTTCCTCCTTCCCTCCCTCCCTCCCTTCCTCCGGCCACAAGCACCGTTTCAGTCGTTTTGACTACCAGCCTTTTGTCGTCAGCTTCGTGCATGCATGCTGCACTGTCTAAATTTGAGGCGCCTCAAAAAGCTTCGTGCATGCTGCACTGCTTGCTTCATGGTTGCGTCTGAGGCATGGCGCATCGTCCGGCGATGCACTCGAGGTTTATCAGAGACTGCATGCTCCATTGTTTACTGCCATGCTCATGCGATTGCTTGCTATTGTGCACTCACCTTTGGTCACCTCATGGCTTGTGCACTGTGTGGCTTTGTGTGGGAGTGGCTATGGGTGTGCTTTCGTGTGTGTGTGGGTGTGGGTTGCGGGGAGAGGGGTTTGGGGGAAGGGAGGGTTGGGTGTGTGGGTGCATTGCTTTGCATGCATGTGCGGGCACGTATGTGCTTGCGTGCATGCGTGCATGGTGGGTGGCAGGTGGTGTATCTGGGAATAGACAACATACATGCAGTGCGCGACAGCATGAACCGTCTGAGAGAGTACCTTGACACCCATGGCTCTGCCTGCTCCGATGGCTCCTCCTCCCTGCTCGTCAGTGCCCCACACACCTCACCACCACCACACCACCACTGCTACTAGCTTACCACCACCCTTCCCCTTCCCTCCCCCCCACCCCCTTCACCACCCCGCCCGCCCCACCTCCCCGCGCGCGCCCCTCTGACCCCATTTTCTCTCCCTCCCGTTTCCTGCGTCATGCACTGCTCTTTGACTTGCTGCGTCGTCCATTCCTTTCCCACTCCAATACCTCTCTATGTTTTGCTTCCGAATTCTCCTCTTATGCTGAGTTTTCCCTCGTCACATGCCTGTGTGTATGTGCATGTGCGTGCACCCTACATGCGATCTCATCCCAACCCCCATGCATCCTCCCAACCCGAGCAGAGGAGTGGCACGGGCGGGTGGACAGGCGGGTCGGTGAGTGGCACGTCGCAGGTGGTGGCGGCGCTGGTGGACTCGTGCTGGCTGCAGCACTGCCACTCGCTGCTCTCCGGTGCCGTCTTCATCGCTGCGCAGATCGCCCTGCAGGGCAACTCCGTGCTTGTCCACTGCAGGTGACGCCGGGAAACAAGGGAGGGCGGAGGGTGTAGCTAAGGAGGGAGGGGAGCGGAGGGAGGGAAGGGTGGGAAGGGGGAGGGGGGGAGGAAAGAGGGGGGGTGTGGGTGGAAGGGTGAGATGAAGGGCGTTGGTTGTGCCATTGCTGCTGCTTCCATCTATTGCCCGCCTCACCTGTTCCCCGTCCCGCCCCTGCCCTGTTCCCGTAACCACACCTTGCTGCTGGTGCGTATGGTGCAGTGATGGGTGGGACCGCACGCCGTCGCTCGTGTCACTGGCCATGCTGCTGCTGGACCCCTACTACCGCACTTTCCAAGGCTTCCAGGTACCGCCCTTTACTCCACTCACAAGTCACAAGTCACCTAGTATGGAGTTCACTTAACCCTCACCATGCTGCTGCTGGATCCCTACTACCTCACCTTCCAAGGCTTCCAGGTACCGCCCCCCTGCACTTTACCATATCATCCTGTCAACCTATCGTTTGATCCCCTGCCGCCCTACCGCCCTGCTGCACTCTCACCCTATCACCCTGCTGCCCTGCTGCACTCTCAAGCTATCACCCTACTGCCCTGCTGCCCCATAACCCTACCACCTGCTCTCACTCGTTTCCTCTCCCCCGATTGACTCTTCTCTCTGTTGTATCCTTGTCTGTCTATCCTCTGCTTCATGGGTTCCCCACATCTTCCCTAACCCCACTCTCACCCTCTCCCCTCTGCCATGCAGTCGCTAGTGGAGACGCACTGGGCGGCCTTTGGCCATCCCTTTGCAGACCGCCTGGGCGTGCCAGCAGAACCCCCCACTGCCTCCTCCTCCTCCTCTCGTACCAACCCCGCTCTCTCCCTCGCTGCCGCTGCTGCTGCGAGCCCTGGTGCTATCGCTGGTGGAGTAGGTGCTGGGTGTGGTGCTGCTGGGTGCGGTGCTCCCGGTCATGGTGTAAATAGTTCTGCGGGTGCGGTTGCAGCTGCTGCAGCTGCATCTGCTGCTGCTGCTTCTGCTCCTGCTGGCGGCGTGGCTGCCAGTGCTGCTGGTGCTGCTGGTACAGCGGGATATGCAGGTGCATCCCTGTCGTCACTATCAGCGTCGGGGTTCCCTGTGGCGAGCAGCAGTGTGGCAGGGTCGACCTTCCAAGCCAACAGCAGCAACAACCAGTCGCCCGTGTTCTTCCAGGTGAGACCATGTGCTACGCTGTGCTCTCCTCTCATGGAATGAACACAGGTCACACACAGAGGCCACTTAGTGGACACACACAGAGGCCACTTAGTGGACACACACAGAGGCCACTTAGTGGACACACACAGAGGCCACTTAGTGGACACACACAGAGGCCACTTAGTGGACACACACAGAGGCCACTTAGTGGACACACACAGAGGCCACTTAGTGGACACACTCAGAGGCCACTTAGTGGACACACACAGAGGCCACTTAGTGGACACACACAGAGGCCACTTAGTGGACACACACAGAGGCCACTTAGTGGACACACTCAGGCCACACACCAGCCACACGCCTGCTACGTGCTTGCCTCTCAGGGCATAGCCGAGGGAGTTTTTTTTTGGCCATCAGATTGCTCTTTTCCTCTGCGTGCTTTCCTCTTCCGCCTGTGTGTTGTCGTGTGTGTGCAGTGGATTGATGCCGTGGCGCAGCTGCTGCGCCTCTTCCCTCGTGCCTTTGAATTCTCCACGGTACGCTCTCCCAACATCTCTTAGGAACGCTGTATGCCTCTGCCATGCGGGGTGCACCCCTCGCGTGCACCCCTCGCGTGCACCCTCCGGCCCTTCTCCCTCGCCCTCATACCTTCCAATTTATATTCACCCCATGTTCTATCCTCTCCCGCTCATGCCACCATGTGCAGATGTTCGTAGTGGATCTCCTGGACTCTGTACTCTCATGCCGCTTTGCCTTTTCAGTCGAATCAATAGTCGTCTCCCCCTTCCTCCCCTTCATGCCACCAACCATGCAACCACCCATGCCACCATGTGCAGGCGTTTCTAGTGGATCTCCTGGACTCTGTGCTCTCGTGCCGCTTTGCCAACTTCCTCTGCAACAACGACAAGGAGCGCTCGCTCGCACGCACCTACCACTCCTCCATCCGCCCCCACGCCTTCCCGCTCTCCCACGCCAACCACTCGCCCGCATCCGTTCCCCCTTTATGTGTCTGGGAACACCTAAGACGCCTGAGGGACCCCTCCTCTCCCTCCTCTCTGTCCTCCTCCTCTACTGCTGCTGCTGCTGGGGATGCAGGCAGGGGAAGGCAGATGGGAGCATCTGGTGAACCGGCTGCTGCTCCTTGCTGTCCGCTGAGCCACCCGCATGTCAACCCCCTCTACTCTCCCTCTTCCATCTTCGCGGCCACTGCTCCTCCGGCTTCTGCTGCTCTTCCTGCTGCTCCCGCTGCTCCTGCTGCTGCTGCTGCTACCGCTGCTGTCTGCACAGCCACAAGCAGCACGAGCTGCAGCACTAGCACCTGCACCCAGGCAGCTATCCGCCCTGCGTCCTGCCCTCCTGTTCAAATACGCCACATGGCTCTCTTCCCCCCATCCCCTCCATCGCCCGCCATTCTCCTCCCGCCTGCTGCCTCGCTCGCCCCTGTTCTCCTGCCTGAGCTCTATCTCCGCTGGTGCTGCCCTGCTGCTGTTCCCCCCCTCCGCTCCCTCCTCTCTTCCTCCTCCCCTCTTGCTTCCCTTCCTCCTCCTGTTGCTGCTGCGGCTACTGCTGCTGCTACCCGTGGGGGTGGAGCTGGCAAAGTAGAGTCTGTCAGTGGGAGCGAACACATGGCGTCTTCACTCCTGCTGGACGGAAGGGGGGCGGGTGGAGCAGCAGCAGCGGCCGCAGCAACGGTTTCTCTGCTATCCTCCAGTTGCCATGCTGCTGTGCTCCACTCCAGTGCGAATCACCACCGCCAGCACAACCACCAGTTACAGCGCACGCACCAGCATCATCATCACCAGCACCAGCACCAGCACCATCAGCAAACGCAGCAACAGCAGCAGCAGGAGCGGATGGAGGGGTGGGTGGCTCGGGGAGAGCCAGTGCATTGGGACTCCGTTTCTGCTGAGATTCGGCGCCTCTACCACTCGCACCGACTCATTGAAGCGGTATGCGGTTGCTTGTGCCTGCCGCGTTTCTCTCCCGGTTGTTTCATGGTTCCATAATGCTCCTGTGCTGCTTCTGTAATGCTTTGGTGATGCTCCTGTCATGCTTTGGTGATGCTCCTGTCATGTGTCTGGCATCCTTTGCTGTAGCCCTGGCCTTTTTACTCACTCTTTCCCTTCGAATTTTCTCTCGCTCTCCTGCTTCTCTCCTGCCCGTACTTCTGCGCCTCCCCTGATGCCCTGCAGGAGTGTGCAGCACTGCAGGGTGCAGTGGAGAAGTCACAGCTTGGAATGCAGCAGTTGCAGGAGGCATTGCAGGAGAGCGAGAGCAGGCGAGCAGAGGCTGAGAGGCGCAGGGACGAGGCAGAGCGGGAGAACGCGAGTCTCCGCAGGAACCTGGCAAACCTGCAGCAGTCCCAAGAGGCAATGCTAGCAGCCGTGTGTCAAGAAGCGGCGTCGGCTGCTGCTGCTGCCGCCTTCACTGCAGCGGGTGCGGGGGGGTCTGCTGCGTCCGCATCGGCTGCTGCTGCTGTTCGGTCGTGCATGGCTGCTTCTTCTCGGTTCCCGTCGCTAGCTTCTGCGGCAACTGCGGCAGCAGCGGCGGCGGCAGCGGCTGCTGCAGGTGGGTTGCGCCTCGCCCTGCCGACCGGTGCTCGCAGGTCGCGCAGTGTCTCCTCTGAACCCAGGTCTTCTGGGGCTGCTCCTGATGCTTCAGGCGCTTCAGGTGCTGCTGCCGATTCTATCGAAGCCAGTGCTATCTCCACACACAATTATGCCGTGGGGTTGGGTGAGGCGCTTCATCTCGACACAGGTAGGAGTAACGGTACTGGCGGCGGTGCCACGTCTCCTGCTCCCACCACGCCACCCTTCCTCCCCTTGCACGCTGCTTCCTGGAGCCCTTGCTTTGGGTCGGGAGGGGCAGCTCCCACCTGCCCCAGTTGTGCCCGCCCCCTCATGGTCGTAGCAGCAGGGGAGAATGAGCTGGAGGAGGGAGGAGCGGAGTGGAAAGCAGGGGGGAGAATAGGAGGGCTGAGGGGGGAAGGGATCGAAGAGAACAGTGCAGCGGCACGGGAGGATGGGGAGTGGGAGGAGGCGATAGAGGGGTGGCAGTACGAGTGCCTATGGTGTGGCTTGAGTGCTTCTGGCTGTCGTAAGACATCCGGTAGCTGGACTGCTGCTGCAGAGGTGGATAATGGGGAGGTGGGAGAAAGCGGGGTTAAAGGTCTGAAAAAGCTGCTTGAGCAGCAAGGTCAGCAGCACCACCAATGGCAGTTGACAGTCAGTGAAGCTGCGGATGCGAAGCCCTATGCTGGTGGTAACCGCGGTAGCAGCAGTGGCACGGCGGGAAGTGCGAGCAACTGCCAAAGTGCAGTGTGCTCCATGCCGGTGCCTGCGTTTGTCCGGGCCGATTTTGATGCCTTGCGGTGTGGGCCCATTCCCAATTATGTTGGGTCCCTCTCGTCATCCTCATCCCACTCTGCTGGCGCGGCTGCAATGTGAAGAGGCTTAATGAATACCAAGCAATCCAAGGTTACGGCACAAGCCGACGTCTGACTCGAGCTACTAAGGGATCCATCTATGGCTGAAAGTAGATGGTTGAAAGTGTTTTGTTACAAAGTGTGATCATGACTTTGTACATTGGCTCGCTTGTTTCGTTAAAAAACAATTGCATGTGTAGTTGATGTTTGTGGCTAGCTTGTGATGTGAGACCAATGAGGCTGGTCCGTCAGCAGCAACCCGACGGGTAGCACTTGTGTACAATGGCAGAATCCACAACTGTAAAGTGCGTTCCGAAACAATAATGAAGCGAAGCTACCGTTCTGTGCGAATCCACCCTACCCGTGGAATCTAGATGTGGTCCAGGACACCGCTGCGGATATCGGAATTTTGTATCTTGCTATGCTGATAATGGCAATTTGTGAACAATTATAACATACGGTATTTTTACTGCACAATACAACAGTGCCCCAGATCAGCTGAAAACCGGAGAGGGACAGGGACAGAGACCGAGAGAGGAAGAAAGTGGAGGTGTGATTGGAAAATAGGAATAGCGAGCAGGAGGGGAGGGAGATGCTATATGTCCTGCCTGCAATGTGTTGAGGGGGTGCGGGGAAAGGAGGAGGGTGGGGTGAGAGACACATGGCCTGAACGTGAATGCGAAATGAAACAGAACGGTAGGCTAATGGAGAGAGGAAGAGGGGGAGTAGGGGAGAGTCGGACAAGAGATGACTAGATTAGATTTGAGTGGGTGGGGGCCAGCGAGTGGGGCCAAGAGAGGAGAGGAAGCGATGTGCGGGAATGCATGCAAGAGACGGTGGGAGGGGAGTCGATGACCCACATGAGAAAGGAGATGAGGAGATGATGAGGAGGACGCATGTGCAAGGGACAGACGAGCAACAATTAGGGCGTTATACTGAATCAACTTTCCATATCTCATCCCATCCCATGCCCTCCCTTCCCCTCCCCTCCCCTCGCCTCCCCTCTTACCCCCCACCCCTCCCTTCTCCTTCCTGCCCCTTCATCCCCGCGATTCAGACATACGATGAGAGCACGTCCGGAAAGTGCGGGCAGTGCTGCAGGAAGTGCTGGCGCCGCTGCGAGGCTAGCTGCGGCAGCAGCAGCGCATGGCTGGGCTGGACCCACACGCGCTCATCTCTAGCAGTGATGCTGCCAGGGGGAGAGGGGGAGGGGGGAGGGGGGGCGGGAGTGACAAGGAGGGGGGTGAGAAGAGGAGGGGTAAGAACAAGGGGGGTGAGAAGAAAGGGACGGGGTAAAAGCATTGCAATGCGGTGTAACACTGTTCAGTGCGCACACAATCGTAAGAGCAAGGCTATCACCAGACTCACCGCTCCCCAACCCTCCCACTCCCGCCTCCAGTGGGCATGAGTACCTGCAGAGCGCACGAGCAGCACGGAGTGGGGCGAGAGGCGGCAGGGGCGGTCGTGGCAGTGGCAGGCGATGGGGACGAAGGAGAGCTCGGCGCCAGGGAGGAACGAGAGATTCGCTTGTATGGGCCCGGTGCCCTCCCCTCGTCCACTGCTGCTGCCGTGCTCGCTATCACCGTTGACAGGGAGAAGCTGGGAGGTGGGGGCCGGAGGGGGAGGGGGAGGGAGGAGGAAGGAGGGCCGGTGCTGTGTCCGATGCTGCTGCTGTGTTCGCAATCACTGTCGATAGAGAGAAGCTAACGAGAGGGAAGGGTGGGGGGAGCGGAGGAGAAAGGAGAAAGAGCTGGGAGCATCTGAACCGTGAAGCGTACAGAATGGCGTAACGCTAGTAACGCGTACTGGGAACGAAGCAAGGCTACTAACGCGTACAGCGGGTACTGGTGCGCGTGGAAGGCGCGCTGGCCGACGGTGACGACGAGGTCGCTCGCCATCCCCGCCACTTGCGCCCACTCGGGCTCGCTCTCGTGCGACAGAAGCGACGTTCCCGCGTCGTCGCACGCCTCGTCGTTCATCGCAGGCGTCCTCGGAGCAGGCGACGGCGAGGAGCACGAAATGAATCGGCGCGGAGTAAATGGCGTGGGCAGTGAATGACGCTGACACTCGATGCTCCACCCCGTTATCCTGTTGGTCGAGCAGTACAGTGCGGAAACTGCGTAACTCGCGTCGAGTGCGGAACCGTGAACACCAAGGAAAGCATGCTGTGCTGCTGGAAATCGGTGGAAGCGATACACACGACAGCGCTTCCCATCCCCCTCTCTCTCCGCTATCGCGCGACCACGAAACATGACTTTCGTTTATAACGCTGCGCGATTCAAGGACGGACGCGCTCCGAAATGCGAGAATGGATGAACGGGTCCGATTGTACCGATCGCGCTCGCCCAGGCGGATCCTCTCGTCTGGAATGCGCAGATGCAGATCCCGCGGAGCAGCAGGCAATGGCTGGCTGTACCACGCGATCCGAAGTCGTCATGGCATCGATGCACTCTGCAGTGCGATGGGACAGGAGCGTCGACATTTCCTCCGCTACGGCTTCGACTATAGCGACGCGACGCGAGCCGAGTTGACCTCGGCTTTCACGTTCTCGCCTTGGGAATGGAATAACGAGATTTCCTGCTGCTTGCTCTTGCTCAACTGAATTCTCATCACGCCAATGAAAGAGGGTGGTCTTTCTTCCAACCGAACCGAACTTCAATCTTCCTTGCCGCATCGAACCGACCTCGGCTCAATATTTAGGTTCAGAAACAACCAATATACCGTATGTAAGAATATTACTAACTACTAGTCCATCATTTACAAATTTGCAAGGCACTCTGTGCTCTGTCTGTACGAGTTAATCTTACATTGGTACGATTCAAGGCAATCTCATACATATCTTAGGTTCAGAAACAAGCAATATATGAAACAGTAACATAAACCACTGCTCCAGTATTTATAAATTGCAAGGCACTCTATGCTCTGTTGGGCTGAGAAGCCCTAAGGATCTTTGTAGAGTTAAAGACTAAGTAGGATTGTAATAGCGGAAGCGTTGTAATACAGAGTGGTTGAACCACCTTGCACTAGTATGTGAGAGCAAAGTAAGTTGATTAAAACAAGCAAATACAAGGCTTTATATAAGAGTACAAGGAATACGAATAGGTATAATAACTGTATTGCTGTTGCGATTCGATACAGTGCGACTCGGGCAACTGCTCAATATCGAGTCAGTTGTGTGTCCTTGCTGTCGCGCTGTATTGGTCAAGTCAAAGGTCGCTGACCTTAGACCTTCGCGTAACCTCCAGGCGGTTACCCCAACTTCCGAGGGTTGACTCGCGATGCTTCGATTCGGAGTGCTTCGCTTTTGTATCCAAAGTTTCGACACGACAGAGGCGCTTAAGGTTTATTGTTCCCAACACTCCCCTTCGCTTCTGGAGTGTCGCTGCTGGTGACGTGGCCTTGTCCAGTCAGCAGCATGCAGTACTCGAACTTCTGTTTTCCGAGCTTCTTGGTCAAATAGTCGGCTGCCATCTCGGACGTGGGACAGTAGGATAACTCGAGTCTTCCTTTCTCGATCTCGTCTTTCACGAAGAAGTATCGCAGAGCGATATGCTTCGTTCTGTTCGCGAATCCGCTTTTGTTGGCGATGCGAATTGCAGATTGGTTGTCGCAGTGCAGGGTGAAGTTGGGTAACTCAGCTAACTTTGCTTCTTCCAGCAGCTCGCGAAGGTAGAGTCCTTCCTTGGTGGCTGAGCAGAGGGCGATATATTCTGCTTCAGCTGAAGAGAGAGCGATTAGTTCCTGCTTACTCGACTGCCAAGAGATACGTCCGTGTCAGAATGAGGAATGGATGTTGCATTGATGTTGGTTGGGGTACATATGACAAACCCTAACTTCTGTACCCCCTAAGACAAACCTCATTACAGGCTACAACATTTGACACACCCCCATAGCCTAAGTGAGGGGTGTCTAGCAAAAACAAAAAAGAGTACGGTCACAAGACCAGTCCAAAAGAAAACAAAGCTCAGGGTGGATCACAATGTCACCACACACTCTGAGCACAAGCAACAGTGGCCACAAGGCCAGTCCAAGAGATCACAAGTATATATAGTAAGTGTACAGACGAAGCAGGCAATAAACTCAAGTCTACGCATGACTAGAACCTGTGTCAACAAGGCCTAACTGCACACAACACCTCTGGTGGTCACAAGGCGGAAGCGCCTTGGTGAAGATGTCTGCAGTGTTGGCCTCGGACTCTACAAACTCGAAGCGAGCCTGTCCACGCCTCTGCAACTCTCGCAGAAGAAAGTACCTGACGTGAATGTGTTTCACTCTGCTCTCCAGTCGCGGCTCACGACAGAGGAGGATCGACGCCTTGTTGTCAGTAAACAAGGTCGGTGCAGAGCTCGGCCGCTCACCAAGGTCGGCGAGCAAGAAGGTCAACCACCGTAACTCCTGTGCCGCCATGGCACCAGCGTAAATCTCAGCCTCAGCTGTAGAGGTCGAGACAGAAGAGGAGCGCGTGGAACGCCAGGAAACAGCTCCAGAACCCAGACTGAAACAGTACCCCTGAGTAGACCTGTGAGTCTCAGCGTCGTCAGCGTAAGAGGAGTCACAGTGACCAGTGAGTACGACAGACTGCTGCCCTCCAAGAACTAGCCCCACGCCTGATGTAGTCGCTAGGTACTTCGCCACCCTCACAGCTGCCGTCCAGTGAACAGGACGGTGTCTCCCTGGCGCAACAAAGCGCGCAAGGATGCTGAGAGGGAAGGCGAGGTCCGGGCGAGTACAAGTCATCAGGTACATGAGGCAACCCACAAGCTCTGCGTAGGGACCACTAGGCTCAAACGGCTCGTCAGGAAAGGGACCAGTGAGTCTGTGGTCAACAGCTAGAGGTGTGCGCTGTACGGTGGAGTGCTGAAGCCCGAACCGCTGAAGGACCTGCTGCACCATGTGTGACTGTGAGAGTGTAATGGTGCGAGCGGCTCTGTCCCTGGTGATCTGCAGGCCAAGGTAGTGGCGCAGCTCACCAAGATCAGTGCACGTGTGTCTCTTTTGCAGTTCGGACTTCACGTCTGCCAAAGCAACCCTGTCCGAAGTGGCGAAAACGAGGTCGTCGACGTAGACCAAAACAAAGAACGGTGTGGAGCCACGACGAACGAACAGCGACGGGTCGGCAGAAGACGGCTGGAACCCAAGGTCAGAGAGGGTAGAACGCAGAGTGTCGTGCCACTCACGAGGGGCCTGGCGAAGACCGTAAACAGGTCGCCTCAGCCTCCACTGGGTCCCAGGAGGGAAGGTGCCAGTGAAGGCCGAGGGACGACGCAACCAGACCTCCTCGTGTAGGCTGCCCTGAAGGAAAGCAGTGGAGAAGTCGAGAGAGTGTAACTCGTAGTCTCTCTGTGCTGCTACGTGTAGTAACACCCGAAGAGTGGTCATCTTCGGGGTAGGTGCGAAGGTCTGAAAGAAGTCAACTCCCTCGCGCTGACTGAAACCTCTAGCCACGTAGCGCGCCTTGAAGACCGGGGGAGATCCCGGTGGCCGCTTCACCCTGTAGATCCACATGCCGTCGACTACGTTCGCCCCAGGGGGGGGAACCTCATCGACGTAGGTGCCTGTGGATCTGTAGGAGGCCATCTCTGCGTCCATGGCAGCTCTCCACTGAGAGGCCCAAGGCCCTGACACTGCCTCAGCGTAAGTGCGAGGAGTCGGAATGTCAAGGGCGTCGGGGTCACCCTCAGGGGCGAGGAGCATGGCACAGAGATGAGGGGAAGCGGCCGCCAGGAACTCTAGCTCAAACTGCCTGTCCTCTAGGGCGTCACAGCCAAGGGCAGACACACCCCCGACGGCCAGAGGACTGGTAGGAGGAGCAGCCACAAGCGTGGTGGCGTAGTCAAGGCGGCGGGTAGAGGCAAAGTCAGTAACTGCGGCAGTAAGAGCGGACACAGAGGACACAGAGGCACGAGGGTGAGTAACAAGAGAGGCGAGAACACGAGAGAGAACAGGACGGTACGTGCGGTAGTAGTCAGTGACAGGAGTAGGGAGCGACACAGTGAGGGCCGACTCAGGAGGAGACGGAAGCACAGACTGAGACGGACGAGGTGGACTAGAAAGAAGGAAGGCAGTACGAAGGTCAGTGAAGGGAACAGGAGACGAGGGACGAGCACGAGGGGAGCGACGAGTAGCCCAAGAACGAGACGGAGGAGGAGAGGACAAAGGCGGAGAACTGGGGAAAACAGCGGGGGAGGAGTCAGGAGGAGGAAACGTGGGACCGTAGACAGGAGGAGAGGCGGAGGAGGGAGGAGAAGGGGAGGGGAGACCAAGGATCCGAAGACCCGAGACAGGAGGAGGAAGTGGCTGCTGCTGCTGCGGCTGCGACTGCTGCTGCTGCGGACGCGGCTGCTGCTGGGACTGCTGCTCCTGCGGGTCCAGCTGCTGCTGCTGCTGCTGCTGCTGCTCCTGCGGCTCCAGCTGCTGCTGCTGCTCCTCCAGCCGCTGTAACTCCCTCTCCTCTCTCTCCAACGCCAGCTGCTCGTCACGGGCACGGCGAACACGAGCCTGGTGCCTAGTCGGGTAGGGGTGGGGGGGTGGAGTAGTGTCCGAAGCAGCGGCAGCTCCAGAGTCCACCTCAGAAGAACTAGGCGCACCACCCCCAGAGGCAGCACTAACACCAGCTCCAGAACCAGGCTCACCTGAACCCGAAGGAGGCGCACCCTCACCCCCAGACGCAGCACCCCCAGTGTCCGCGCGGCCAGCACCAGCTCCCGGACGACAAGAGTCCTCTGCACCCACCGGGTCAGCTCCAACTCCAGAACCAGAAACTCCAGCTCCAACCCCAGCTCCAACTCCAGCACCCCCAGAACCAGAAACTCCAGTGCCAACTCCAGCTCCAACTCCAGCTCCAACTCCAGCACCCCCAGAACCAGAAACCGGTACAGGAACAGGCGCCGCACCAACCTCTCGAGAGCTAGCACCAGCGGCACGCTGCGAGGAGGACTGTGGGGAGGGAGGCTGTACCGGAGGGGCTACCGAAGGAGGA